TCGGAGACAGTCCACTGCCGGTCGCAGGGTGGTCCCGTGCAGTTCTTCTCGGCCAGGGGCCGGGCGCTGGCATCGCAAAGCTTCTCGTCCTCCGAGCAGCGAATGTCCCGTGTCACCACGCTCCGCTCTCCGCACCGGGCTGAGCACTGCCGGGAGGGCACGGGGCAGGGGACGGGTCAGCAAGGGCTCCCACAGCAATGGGAACTGAGAGCTGCTTTCGGGGATTCGTTTGGTTTTTTGTTGTTTACATTTTTAACATAAAATTCAAAAACACGCTGACTGTAAAATGATCTGTAGGATAAACCATCCCTCCTCCACAAAACCCTTTAACAGCTTCAGCGGCCAGGGTAAGGTGCAGGAGGGCTGGATCCTGCCCAGGTGCTGTGCAAGCTCTCTGCTGGGGGAAAACCCAAGGCACCAAAAATTCCTGATCGGAGCTGAGAAGTTTGAGCTGTCACTTTGAGACGGGGTGAGATCTTCCTCGCCTCCTTCCCAGGAACAGTCAGCTCCCTTCCACCTCTTTGGAGAATGTTTTCCCCCAACTGCACAACTGAGATTTTTATGCCGTGGATAAATTTGGCACCGCGCAGCCCAGTGACATTATTTAGAACTGGATTTGAGTTACTACAGTCTCACATACACACAGTTGCTCCGTGCATAACGTAAAGCAGGGAAAAGTGTCAACAGCACAGTGCTCAGACGCACCACGCTGATATGTTAATCCTCAGATCCCTGAAATGCGCTTTTTTTTTTTTTTTTTTTAATGCCTATTTCCCCAGCCAACTTGGCATCCGGCTTCAGATGGGATCCAAATGAGATTAGCTTTGCTGCTGGCTAAGAACAAACTACTTCAGGACTGTCTCAAGCAATCTGTCCCTGACACATGCTGGAGCAGAATACAGATTTCTGTAAAATAAGCCACTCTGCTTCGCTACGCTGGTCAAAATAATGCGCCAGCACATGCGCAGGGGAGCTCCTGTCTACCCAGCTGCGAAAGTCAAAACATCCTGCAACACCAGGGAAGGCACCAGCCCCTCCATCAGCTTGAGGGAAACGATGTACCCTGGCTTGCAGAGGAAAGAAGACATTTCACAGAATCACAGAATGTTAGGGGTTGGAAGGGACCTCAGAAGATCATCTAGTCCAGCCCCCCTGCCAGAGCAGGATCACCAACATGAGGTCACACAGGAACGTGTCCAGGCGGGTTTTGAATGTCTCCAGAGAGGGAGACTCCACAACCTCCCTGGGCAGCCTGGGCCAGGGCTCTGTCACCCTCACAGGGAAAAAGTTTTTTCTAATATTTTTGTGGAACCTCCTATGTTCCAGTTTGTACCCATTGCCCCTTGTTCTGTCATTGGACATCACTGAAAAGAGCCTGGCACCGTCCTGCTCACACTAAAAATTACTTAAATTACATCAAGAAGCATTCTGGGAACTTCCCCGGAGGAGGAGTGCGAGCCTTTGGGGCATAAACCATGGAGCAGCCTTGCACCCACAGGCAGCTGAGCCTGGAGCTCAGCCTGCTCTTGCTTAGAAGGGGTCTGGGCTTGATTTGGGAGCAGAAACAACATTCACTCCTTTAGAGAGTCAATGAGCATGCAGAGCACAAATACCACACTCCGCACGCAGCCCTCACCATCGCGGGGGGCTGGCAGTGACCCCCTGGGCGAGCTGGGAGACAGATGCAGACCTGAAATCTCACTCTCCCTGTGCACACCCGCTTCCAGAAGACACTGGAGAGGCAGGACTGTTTCCTAGCAATGCAGAGGGCCATAGTTATACCCCCTCAGGTGTTTCACACATTTGCTGTGAGCTGTAGTGGGTTCCTCTCCCTGCACCTGAGGAATCTGCACCAGTTTGGTCATTTCCACGGGTTTATGTTTGCAGGTGGCATGCTGGAGCGCTGGTTGTGCTTGGAAATGAATTCAGGGGCACAAACCCTTTCACATGTTTTCCCAAGCAAACCCATGAGCTAAATCAAAAGCATCGCTGCACCGCCCCAAACCATCTCCCAACTGCTTTTAGAGATCTGCTTAAGGCAGAAAAGGTTAATTCTCCAGTGAAATTGGAGGTGAGGAAGGGAAGTTTATGGGGAACATAATTCACATGTGAGGTGGGATCTCCTCCCTGGCACCTCACAGGCTGAAAATGCTGCCAAGCAAGTAGTGGTGGGAGGATCTGAGCTGTGGGCTCCTGCCCTGGCAACACCAGCACCTGAAGTGCCAAAGACCACAAGTGATGGTCAGTGGTGGCCTCCCCATCCTGGAGGGGATTCAGCATTTTAAGGGGACTAAAAATAAAGTTACAGGAGCACGTTGGACCACGTGCAAAGGCTGCAATCTTAAAAGGAAGAGTCTCTGTTGGCCACGGATGAGCTTCAATCAGAAAAGAAAAGGAGAAGTACAGACATGTGAGCGGGTCCTCAGCGCTGCCGGGCCAGCAGCCCCCGGGGACTCACCTCGGACCACTCCGACATCTCCCACTGGGGCCCACAGGCTGGGTTCTTGCAGACCTTGCGCTCGTCAGGACGGGTGATGTCTGCGGACTCGCAGAGGTCGCTGTAGACGGAGCTGTCGAACCCCGGAGAGATCATCTTCCAGCAGCGGACGATGCGGAACTGGTAGCCCTCCCCACAGGTGCGGGAGCACTCGCTCCAGCTGCTCGTCTCCCACCTGCGGAGGCAAGAGAGGTCATCGTGCCAGGTGTGGCTGGACCGGGGCTGGAGCATCCCGTGAGAAAACCCTGCCTGCTCGCCGGGATGAGATGGCTAAAAGAGGAACAAGCTGTAGTCAGGCTGCCAGCACATTTTTTCCCAGGGGGTGGGAGGTACGGTGGTTTCATCCAGCAGACCTGAGCTCATGACCACAGCAGCAGATGCTAAAACCAGATTTTGCTGATGGGAAGGAGTGCCAGGACCTAAATCAAAACCAACCCTCTAACGCCAACACCTAACCCCAACCTCTAACCACTCTGCTAACATCACGCAATGGGCTGGAAGACCTGGGATCTGCTCTGAGACACTGCCTGGCCCTTACTGTCCCCTGCCACTACAGTCCTGATGTCACAAGGGGGAAGCAGCTTGTAAACCAAGGGGAAAAGACATAAGAAGTCAAGATTTTTACAGTACAGCAGCATTGTAGCGTTTCTGAACTAACCAACAAGCTAAAAACGTACAAATCTAGATGGATCAGAATTGCCACGTCCTCTGGCCACATGCCCCAGCTGCACACCGGCCTCACACCCGCATGGGGCTCCAGGAAGGGCAAACAGCTGTAGGGCGATTTAGAAATGCCACCTAAATTCCAAAGGGAGATGAAACCACAGTCTTTCCCATCCAGACCAAACAAAATTCTCTTAGTGCTTTCTGTTGGAAAACCATTGCCAGCCCAAGCAGCATCCCAGCTGCCTAACTGCTGGAGAACGTGCTCAGCTGCCCTCTTTGAGTTCCCGGCAGCTCCTGGGTTTACCCTCGGGCGAGCTGCTGTCGCCAGTAAATCACAGAGCAGCTCTTCTCTCTCACAGCGCAAGCTGTGGAGCTGGAACAGCACAGCTATGAGGAGGGGCAGCATTATAAAAGACCAGTGGGATAATCTAGGTGTGAAAAGAGCCCTAATGCCCGTGCTGAAAAATGACAAAGGTAATGCAAATAGAGATTAAAGTCCCCATGGTGGCTATGAGGCAAGTATGCTCCCAGCAGTAGCACCATTCACCTCCCCACACATTTCTTGCCTCAGTTGCAGCCTGCCCTGGCTGTCAGCCTTCACGTAAAATGTTCAGTGAGATCTTACACTACAAAGGGCTCGTGCTTTCCTCTCCCATCCTCCTTCACTATCGCCGAATGCAAAAGCAAGCGTTTTCCAAGGACCGGGTAGGGTCCCTGGTACTACTCTAGGTTTGCTTTGCACTGTTCACAAGCGACACCATCACAGTCCTCCTCTTGCCAGACACCAGTCTTGCAAACCTTCCGACAAGCACACCCCACGTTACAAACCAGCAGCAGAGGTGCCTCGAGCCGTACAGCCCAGCTCTGGACTCCAGTCACGCTTTTCACATAAAGAATCGCATCAGAACGGAAACTTTCTAAAGGGCTTCCAGCACGGGTTCCCTTCTGCACCAGCTCTCATCATGACACAAGCAAACCCCAGCAATTTATAGGATGCTGAAGAGACTGGAGGGCTACATCTGTGGCACAGCTTGAAAGCCCAGCCCTTGAGCCGAAGCACTTAGAAGGAAAGTCTTGCTGCATCCCAGGCAGATGCAACTAGGGATGGAGGTGCTACGGGCCACCCGTGCTGCTCCCCCTGCCAAATTCACACTGACCCCCTCCCCCAAGTACATTCAGAGCAGAGAAAGAGCAGAGTCCCCCAGGAGCGCCCTGGTGAGGTGGTACCTTGGCTGGCACTCTCTCCCAGCACAGAACTCATGGATGGGCTCGGGACGGGTCATGGCATCACAGTACGTATCATCCACTTCGATCCCATCATAGCGAACACACATAGCATACGTGGACATCACTCCTGGTTTTAAAGAGAATACACACACACAATAGAGGATGCTCGGTGATTTTGACAGCCAAACGTTTTTGTGGTTGGTTTTTTTCCCTTTCTCTTTTTTTAAGCTACATTTTCCAAAACTTCCTCCTGATGGAAAGCAGCAAGCCAGGCTTTCTGGCCCACGAGTCGGATACTGCCGGGAGGGGAGGACCACAGTGGCCACGCAGCCAACACAGGCAGTACGGTTGAGTTTGGCCACCCCCGCCAGGGCTTGCCACCAAGATCAATATACAGCTAACACATTCTTATGGGAAACTCTTGGGGCAATACATCTGCTCGGCAGCTCCCTCTGCCTCGGAGCCATCAGCTTCCCCCCTGCCAGGCTCGTAGGTGGAGGCAACAGAAAATGGTCCCCAACCCACTCCATCCACCCACTCCTTTTTTTTTTGATTTTGCATTACACCCAATTTGTGCCCAGGTACTCCCCAGGTGTACTCATTGCCCTGGGCCAAGGAGGGGCTCCTGGGGGCTTTGCAAGGGGTCACCTGCTCCTCCTGCCCACCCTACCCCAAAAGCACAGGCAGTCAGTGCCGTCAGACTGAGACCTCCCCCCCATCCCTTCCCCCCGCCGCAGCCTGCCATGCCAGAGTAAATGTTGTGAAGTCCATTCTGGGACCTGGCTGAGGACCAGGAGGCTGCTCTGGCTACAGGTAACAAGAATCTCAGCTCTCGGGAACATATGATTTACATGAAGTTAAAAAAAAATAAATTAAAAAAAAATTCTACAGCTCTTGACGCAGTAGAGGTTCTCTGTGATATGTCATGAAGAAAAGGCACTAAGAAGCGAGAAATTTAAGCAAAATGCATCTCTGCTGGCTGCAAAGTGGGGCAGAGGAGCTTGGCCCGGCCAAGGGGGAAATTTGTTCAGCCGGGATCAGAGAAGTCAAAAATGTCCCAGGACACGTGGCTGACGAGATCCCAGGGAAACGGACGGTCCACGAAGCTCCTGCTGCCAGCATGTGTCTGCTGGACGAGAACAACTGCTTAAAACATGAAATCCTTGCATTTGCTCTTTTAAGAGATGTCCCTTAGATTGCCATCTCCTCTCTCCCCCTTCTCTCCTTCTGTCTAATTGCAGAAGCACCACAGGATATGGATTATTTCAGGGACGGTGCCAGTGAGAGCATGACCCACATGCGGGCTTCATCACAAGCAACAGGCTCGCAGGGGCCAGGACTCCCTAACCAAGGAGTAAAGGAGGAGAGAGATCAGGTGGCTTGGAGGGTTTTTTTGAGAGGCAAAAAGGGGGAATTTATGGAAAAAGAATTTTTGATATCCCTGGCATCTACTTTGCTGTTCCAGATTCACACCCTCGCAGCCGAGATCAGGCTCCAGGGTAGAAGGAGTGGGAGAAACAAAACAAAATCAAAAAGTCAAATGGTATTTTGTTTCCTGCCAGAGCTGAACAATCTTCGAAATTTCACTCTGAGGGGAAGCAGCTGAGCTTTTCAAACCCCTCTGAACCGTCAAAAAAGGGGAGGAAGGTAAAAAAAAAAAAGAAAAAAAGTAATATGCTGAGACTCAAGCTCCTGCTGAGCCCCAGCACATCCCCACTGGGCTCGGAAGCAAAGGTGAGGTTCAGAGCTCCCTGAAGGGAGGGTGTTTTGTGGGCTCAGGAACATGCTGGGGACCAACATCTGGCCCCGACACGCCTGTGAGCTCGGTGGGCTTTGCTCTCCCTTGGCCCCCCGCTCCTCTCCCCACCTTTACACCCAGGGTCACGCTAAAGCTGCTCCAGAGACTGCCAGGTCCCCTACACATCACCAGCTCCTTCCCATCCCTAACAGACATAAAAGTGAACTCACACACCAGGTGATTTCAGCGGTTGTGCAGAATTTGGCTGCTTCTTATAACTACCTGTGGTACATGTAGAGCTGCACGGTTCATGGGAGGAAAGCTTCCACCTGTACATGTCAGCAGCACTCACACCTTGGCCCTTTCTTAACAACTTCAATCTGTTTCTAGCGATAAGCAAACAAACAAACAAAAAAAAAAAACAAACACAGAAACAAAACAAAACACACAAAAAAAAAGGCATTTACAAGGCGAGCGGTGATAGGCCACATCAGACACACACATCTGCTACTGCAGTTCGGTTGGGTTCGGGTTTGGGAGGGGATTTGCTTCGTTTGGCAGGTGGGTTTGGTTTTTCTGATTTTTTGGGGGGTTGGTTTGTTTGTTTTAATTGTTTGGTTGGTTTTTTTTATTTTTTTGGTTTTTTTATTTCACAACATACCTGTCCTGAGCCCCAAGTAGAATCCCCAGCCTGGTTAGAGGCAGAGCTTCCACTGTCTAGAAATAGAGAGAATGGGATAAAAATACCCACAAGTAGAAACAGTTCAGAATTTAACAAAGTTTGCAATTTCTGCTCAAATACACCTGGCCCTCTGCATACAGTGACTAAAGGTGCAGTATCTCCTCCCCTGCCTCTCCGGGGCCGGGCACTCCGAGGTGTGCTGCTCGACTTAGCTGCTCAAATCTCAGCAGCTCACTCCTTCCAAAAGCCAACACGTGGCACAGGAGGCTCTAAGCTCGCTCCTCAAAGCACGCTTTGCTTTTCGACACCGAGGCATGCCACTTGCCTACCCGCTGCTTTTTTTGCCACTCTTGTTTTGTTTTGTGCTGTTGTCTTTTATTTTAGGTAGGTAATTTGCATCTCTCATATCCACGCTGCGCTCAGGCACGTAAATGCCATCGGGAAAGGAGTAACGGAGTCAGCCTGGTGCACGAAAAAGCATTTGTCAAACCAAGAATAACAGCTTCTCCCAGTTCAGTGCATCCTACGTGCTGTGAGGTTAAAACACACCAGGGATACTGCACCTTTACAACAAAAGGCTTCGATTCTGTTCTCATACCTTTGTTCAAACCCTTGAAACAGCTACACTGAAATAGCGTACAAGGTTGAATCCTGACATCCAGTTGTCTCTGGCCTGGCAAGATACGCAGCTTGTATGATTTCTAGGCAGCAGAAGCTCTGAAATTGCCTTATTTAGTTGTTCATAAGAAAAAGTTCAGGTCCAGTCTATCAAATCAGCCTTTAAAAGGACACTGTTGAGAATCCAGCCATTTCCTTTCAGACCCACCCCCCTTCCACCGCCAGCCCTGAGCCTCCACAAGGATTAAAAACAACAACAATCTCATTTTCCCCTGTTGATTTTGCCTCTGTCAGTTTGGCAAATGGTCACTTCCTGCGTTTGAAATGGAATCAGAATGGATGTGACTATTTTTTGCGGAAAAACAACCACCTCGGCTCACTATAAATAGTGCTTTATCTTGCCAAAACAGCCCCTGCTCCTGGCTCAGCCCCGGCTGCCTCCTGCCACCCAGCCAGGAGAGGGCTCACAAGATGACAGCTTTCAGTAAAATCCATTAAAACATAAGCAACGTCTGCTTTTGGTACTTCAATTTGCCTGGAAAACAGGGTGTTACCAAGATCCTCTGCTCTACACCCTGCTCTTTGTAGCACCAAGTATACACCAAGTTGTCCTGTGACTGGGACTCCTCTCCCTTGGAAGGGGAAAATAATCTTCAAAATTAGCTTTTTCTGTCCTCAGATATGGTATAATCTTTCAACAGTGTCCCTTTAATATATGTAGTCCTAAATAAAGAGCTTCTTCAATGCGTAACGAGGTTGTGGGGACAAGTTCTTTCCAGATAAATCAGACGCTTGGTCATAGGGCAGCATTCAGCTCTCTCACCATTTCAAGCAACGACAAAACTGTCGTTTTGTTTTCCTCTAAATGCAAACAGCAACACATTGTCCCACAAAGCTAGCGGGCTTCTCACTTCTTTTATTTTTCCTCTTTATTAGAAATCAAGTGTTTCCCGTGTCTGCACTTTGCTTCTGCTTTTCGAGCAAGCAACAGCACCAGAACTTTGCCCCAGTCCCTCACCCCTAGCTGAGGTCTGGGCTGCTCATCCTCCCAAAACAGCCCCTGCAGTAGAAGAATAATCCTAGCAAGAGCACGCAAACACCACAGATCAACATCAACAGCTCCCCTGTTTTATTTTAGATTTGATTTTTAAGCAAATGGGGAAACTGTTGCAGGATTAGCCCTGGCTGCGCACCATGGCGTGGGCAGGGGTAGAAGGTGCTGGATTTGCCCTGGCACACTATGGAAAGGTTTTAACTGCTCCAGGAAAGGAAAAGCAGCCCAGCATTCCTATCACAGCACGGAAGCCATCCTCCTAGCCTAGCAATGCAACATACCACGTTGGTGTAAGGTGCTCCTACAACTGGAAAACTCAACCCAGACTAAGAGCTACAGCATTTAGGAAGAAATAAAACTCCCCACCTCTAACCAACACTGTCCCGCTTGTACAGACTGGCTGGTTACAGTCTGCAAAGGGATGATCTTCCCGTGCTCATTCATTAGCAGGGAATTTTCATTCCAATTTCAAGCCTGAAAAGGTTTCAAGTCCAAGCTTCTGCCCAGGACTAGGCTGACCCCAAGAAGAGCCTGGGTCCCACAGGGCCCTGCACAGTCCAGTCTCACCCATCCCCAAGGATGGGGACCCCAACGCTGCCCGAAGCCCAGGGCAAGAGGCTTTCCCTTGTGCCCTATCACCGTTTCCTTCCGTGCAGGTTCTGGTTGGCCCCTCCACTTCCCTTCCTCCCGCAGGAACAAGTCCAACCCCCAACATTCTCCACACACCTCCTGCTCCAGCACCCTGCTCACGACACCCCAAACCCAAAACTGCACCTCACTGTCAGTGTGGGCTTCATCTTACTGGGCTGGGGGTCAGCAGAGCTTTAACCCCGGCCCCAGTGAGCAGAGCTGGGGATCCTCACCATTCCCACCCAGGAGATACAGCTTAGTGATTAGTGTTACGACTGCAAGTGGGCTCGACATAAGTAAAAGTTGAGGGAAGCAATAAAGGCTCGGACACAAACAGGCTGTTCTGACACAGTCCCTTCTGTCCCATGGACACGAGGATCTCCCATCTCTGGGCGGTGACAGAACAGCCAGACCCCTGCAAACATTCCTCCCTCCTCCTCAAGCGTCCATATGTGCAGATGCTCTGATTGTTGATGACATTATGGGACTTTCTGAACCGCCAGGCAGGAGAGCAATGCCTCCATGCAGCAGGTGAAGCCTCTTGAAGGGAAGTGCAGGTCATTTGTTTGCCTTTTCCTCTTTACCCCAGCTGCCCCACATCTGCCTCCGCTGGCCCTTCAACCCCCGACACAGCCCCACAGCGAGGGATGGAGCCAGCAAGGAGCTGAGCATCCCTCAGCCCAGGCTAAAGCCCCGCTTGGGCCTGGATACAGCCTTTGGGCTAGCAAAAGAGTTTTTTCAGTATTAACATTTAGATCTGAAAAGTCCATATTTTATTCTAGAGAGAGTTGGAGGTGGATGGAAGCAGAAGGAACACTATAGAGCAAAAGCAAAGGAAGAATGGGGGGGAAAAAATGTCAATGCTGGCTGTCCTTCCTGAAGGGGTTTAAGCCCCTGCCATGTGTCTTCAGTAGACAGGCAGCCTGGGATAGTGCAAGGAACATTTTAGCACCACAAAAAACTGCTCTGGAGCCACTGGCAGTCTTCTGCAACCGGCCTGTAAGAGCCAAGCTGCTCGGAAGCTTAAAGCAAGTAAAGGTCTCTGTATTCCCAGGAGGTAGGAAAGCACTAGCCCCATTTAACAGCTACTGGGAGAGAGGTTTGGGGTATGGGTGCCAGCTGAGGCCACCCCTGGAGCGTGCTGGGGCCAGGAGAGGCCCTGGGGCAGGGCACCCTTCCTTACCCCTACGGTACGGCTGGGGAGCAGACAGCCCTGCCCTCGCCTGTCAGGGCTAGTGAAATGCTTGCTTTGGCAGCTGAAGGCAAATTTTCCCAGCCAAGCCACAAGAAGAGATGATAGACTCAAGCCCTTGGCAACGTTTTAATGTTCTTATCATTAAGAGGTTTGTTGATACATTTGGCTGCATGGACATTTTCTTTAGCATGAGTTTCTTTAGCATAAGCTAGAATAAGTTCTGGGTAAATACAGATAACTATAACCAGAGCCCATCTGCTCAGTGCTTTACATCTTCTGAGGCCCAGCATCAAACCCCATGTTTTGCTGGTGATGAAGACAGAAGAGTCAAAGCAGCAAAACCAGGAGAAGACCCACAGGGGACCCTTGGGTGCTGCCGGACCCAGACAAGCCATGGGGGTGCACAGCAGGACCCCAAGCCACAGCTGTGGGTCCAGGACCTGAGGGATGCCCAAAGCCCCAACTTCTGCTCGAGCTCCCCAGGGAGTGCTCCGGTGTGTGGCTGCACACGAAGGAGGGTGAACTGCAGCAACGGTCCCATCAGTCCCCACGTGCCCACACTGGGAACGAGCTCCCACAGGCTGGGAACAAAGGCTGCTCCCCAGACAGCCCCAGGGCACCTCAAAAAGCCTCAGACACAGACCTGTGGAGAAGCACTACCCTGAGACTCCCTTCCACTCAGCCCATCCCTATCCAGACAAACTCTGCTGCTAAAGATAGATTAAGCTTTTTCTTTTCTTTTTTTTCTTTTACCTTCCCATTGCATTTTCTAACACTACCACTCCAAACGAGTCATTGAAAAGAATCCTGAAGGGACAGTCCTAATACCAATCAGCGAGCTGCCACGGGAGAGCTTTTGGTACTCTTGTCAAAGCAGCAACAAATTGCGCTGCTCCTGCGGTCGTCAAGGCATCAGAGCCAGGATCTGGAGGAGCTCCTGCCGCCCGGCCCTGCCTCACCTGCAGCGGTTGAGCAGGCAGGACCATGCCTGGGAGGTGCTGGAAGCACGTTCCTGCCGACACAATTGAGGAAGCTCATGGCTGGCCGTCAACAGGGTGGGTAAAAAGGGGCCAGGACCAACTTCTGCTGCATCAGAACTCAGGGGAAGGGGCCCGGGGAATCAGAGCAGGATGTCAACAGAAGGCAAAAGGAAGAGGCTTCTTTATAGCCACACTGATAACAAGCTGTGGCAGGCAAGGAGCAATGCACAAGCTGAGAGCCATCAGCATGCCCTTGCCAGCAACCCCACCAAGGAGGGTAATGAGTTCTCCTCTTGCTTAAATGCTCTCGACTTTCTGCTCCCAAACCTCTGGCCCCTCCTTCCAAATTAAGCCCCAACAGAAAAGCTTTCGCATGCATCATCCTACCATCATTTACATATATCAAATACATCATCCTACCCCCTACTTACCTTCTGGCTTCCAAAGCAGAGGGAAAGCATGCAATGGGGTCTGCACTGAGGGCAGAGCTATTACGAGTCAAGAATAGCAATAAATAGGATTTTCTATAATTAAAGACATGTCTCCTACCTTGCTTTGTGGGTTCTGTTCCCTTGAGGGCTGGTCATGGTGACAGTGGCGTTTGAAAACGGTGTCTCTGCAGACGCGTTGACGGCTTTGCCGTTGCTCAGCTCCATGTAAGTGCTATTGATGGTGTAAGTCACAACGCCATCAGTGTCCTCGTAGTCAACATAGAGGCTGTCAATATGTGACCCCACAGAATTGATTGGGTCTCCCTGGGCAAAGATGCTGTTCATGGTCATGTTGAGCACCAGCTCCTTGGAGTCCGAGGTCTTGTCCAGCAGTTTGTCCGTGATGGCGTTCTCCAAAAGGAATTCCCTGGAGCTGAACCTGGGGTCGAAGTCTCTGTCGTCATGGTCTGTCTGGTAAGTAGACCTGGTTACGTTTGAATCTAGATTGGAGCCAACAGGGGGGAAAAAAACAGTGACAACCACAGAATGCATTCAGGCCGGGAGGTGAAAGCAACCCGGAGCAGTGGGAGCACGCTGGAGCCTGAGCAGCCACCCGGGAGGCTAGAGGCAGGAGTTGGGGTCTTGGGGGGGGGAAATCTTAAGGGTCTGTACCCCTTTGGTTAAGATGTGCAGCTCTGTGGGTCTCATCCTGCTATTGCATGGCCAGAGGAGAGCTCAGCACCTGCCAGCACTGCCCCAAGCAGAGGTCAGAAAGGAAGAAACCCTCCTGGCCCCAGAGCCCATGCAGCCATGCTGGGAAAGCACTCAAGGCAGTTTGGTGGTGGGGTGCTCAAGGGACTGGAATGGGAAGGAGGTTGCTGGAGCCTGTGGGGAGGTGGTGGAAGATGTTGTGACAGGGACCTCTGCGCACCCAGGGCTCCCTCATCTCCTCGGCATTAGGCAAAGCATGGCAGGGCATCAGCGGGGACACCTTTACCCATGGCCACCCCTCACCCACCAGAAACCAGAACCTGAAGGGCAAAGAGGATTTATGAGCAGAGATGTTTTAAAGAACTTTCCGAGGTTTCCAAAAAACAAACCAGCAGAATCACCAGAGGTAGAAACAGAGCGTTTCTCAACAAGAGCTCTGAGAAGCAGAACAGTAAGGCCCAAGTCTCCTCCTTACCTTGGGGTTGTTTGCCCTTCAGTTTTGGCTCACAGTCAATTGTTTCTGCTCTTTCATAGACCTCATTGGTTTCCTGACCTTTGCTCAAGTTTAAATCTTCCTCCGTGTCCTGCCTTCCAAACACCTGGTTCTCCAAGTCTATCCCTTCCCTGGAGACTTTCCCAAAATAGGTTGCATTGTGCTGGATAAAACCCAATGGCACCTCTCCATCGAATTCCCTGCTTTCTTCACTTTCTGACTCAGAGAAGGTGTAGTAGATGGGCTGCAGATTTTTTGAGTGTGGCTTCCTCAGGAGGGTGTATTCAAAGGTGATGGATGGATTTTTGCCATTTTGATTCCAGACCTAGCAAACAAATCAGATTATTAGCGGATGCAGTGAATATGCAGCACGCAAAGCTTGTGATTCAGCTTGGACTTGTGTGTTGGTGAGCATCTACTTTGTCATTTCCAATCTGCTTTCCATCTTATTGCCAACTTCTTACAGCCGGAGTCCAGCACAATTTTCTGAGGGTTATTTGGCAGCACCGCCCTGGGCACTAGCCCCAGCTCAGGGACTGAGAGCCACAGGTCACCCTTCCTCCCGTGCTGCTGAGTGACCAGAGACTTGGGAAAGACACTTCAGAAGTTATTGGCCATCATTGGCAAACCTGGTTTTTGTGGCTTTATGAGGAGCATGCATACACCCTTTCAGCTACGACATTCCCACTGGGGATGAGGAATCTGGTGCACTACAACCTCTTACTGGTCTAATGCTTTATAAGCTCCCAAGCAACCATCCTTTCCCCTTCCAGAGGAGCCTGGGGCTACACGGAAGATGGCAGGAGCTGGGCTCTGGCTGGTTGCCCAGAAGAAAAATAAATTACTTTTCTTCATATGCCTGGGTTTAGATGGTTTACTTTTAAGAAAGAGTGGGGGTTTGCATTTGTCTAAGCTATTTGGCCCAATTTCCCATTTTTACTTTTCCTGCCAGGTAACTTAGATAAAAATGCCAAGGAGTAGAAAAGAAATCCCCTCGCAGTGCCTGAGGCATCTCCTCCCTGCCAAGAGAGGGGTTACCAAGCCCACGTTCATTATTCACAGCTCTGCCTGCATCCGAGAGCGCTGACGCAAATAAAATAGGTTTGTGGAAGGAACTGGGTTCAGTCAGTTCTCCCACTCCGCTCCTCGAGCTGTGCGGGAAAGCTGTGAAACCACGGCAGGACTCTGCTCCCTCACCCACCCCTTCCTCAATCCAACAAAGATTTTCCCCCTTCCCATCACTCATACCCTCGCAAACTCGAAAAGTCACAGCTCACCATTATATTCAACCCTTGGTTTGTCGGTCCTTGGGCAACGATATACTCTATGCCGGTCTCATAAACGTCCATGGGTCTGCGGTACTTGAACACCGTGCCTGCAATGTTGAAGTTCTTTGGGCTGTCAACTTTGTAGTTGCCGTTGAAGAAATAGTACCCGGCCTCATCAGCCACAGCTTCAAACGAGAGAGAGAGAAAAATCAGCGCCATCCCGTGGAAGAGCAGACATATGCAATACTGCTGTTAGAGTCACAAAATAACCACTCCTCCTACGTTACAAAGCATTTCTCACCTATTTCCAATATTTATGTGCCCAAGGTTCTGGGCCATGCATGCCTCTACATTGCAAGCTCTTGGGTATGTGGCTTGTACTAGTCCATGGCTCCTGTCTCCCTACTATTTAATAATCACAGCTCTGCAGACCACAAGCAGGCTGTTGGATGGCCAAGAGTTGGAGCTGCCTCCTCAGGAGCACTGAGCTGATGTCTTCAGACTCAGCAGTGGCTCAAGACAGGTCTTGCAGAGCCAGCCCAGGAACCGCACTAAACCAAGCCTTTTTCATTCAAGCCTTCCCGTGCACAACCACGAGATCCTGAGGCAGCCTCATGGCAGCAAATGTGCTTGTCTTGAGCAAGTCCAGATTTTTCCACACTCCTCTTGAACAGCTCTGCCATCTCCATCGTGAGATGGATGGTGTGGCCACCATCACCTCAGTGAGACAACGCACAGGTCACCTCCTCATGTGGCCATTGCACATTCCCCGAGTGGGAGAGGATGAAGAGGACCACAAGAGCAGTGAAGTCACTCGGCTCTCTGTGATCCGGCGGCAGTGTGCGTGTCACACCACGCTGAAGGAGCAATAATATTGACCAACGATTTCTGCACAAAGACAATCAAAGTGTTGACACACACAGCCCAGCTGGTCAGGCTGCAGAGAGGAGAAATGCGCTGGCTTAGACAACGCGGTTGTGATTTACACTGACTGTGGATTTAGCTCCTGTCTGCAGTAAAACTACATTCAGCTTTGCATTGGAAAAAGCATTAGCTCGTGTAGGCATGCATCCTAGGGAAGTACCAAGAGGTTATACACACCCAGAACATCTGCAGATTTTTTCCGCTCCACTATCTGGATATCCCTTGCTCCAGCAGGCATGTGCGTTACCAGAGAATAGCCTATGGGAAACTACAGATTAATGAAAGGAACTTTGTAAAAAATAATCTGAATGAAACGCTCTGTAGCCAATACTGCAATATATCAAGCAAACTGGCCTTGATCTAAAATTATTTTTAAGGAGTTATGGATTAAAAAAAAAAACAAAACACCCGAAAACATGTTGATAACTGTTAGGCTGCAAACAGGAGCTTATTGATAACAGAAAAATGTGTGAACTATGCACCCTGGTTGATAGTGGAAAAACACCTCCAAGAGGGGAATAGGATGCAATCCTTACATGCACAAATATCATGTTTATCTCAGCTGGTGTCAGAAAAGATATCTGAAGGCTGCTTTGTTAGCTAGAGGAGTCATACTGGGGTTCAGTATTGAACCCTGTGTCAGCCAGGCTTCCCAAAACCCCAGCAAGGGATGACAGTTTGTCTCTCCTCCTTTGATAGTTTCTCCCTTTTTTTCAGCACTAGGTAGGTGATGGAGCAAGTCCTCCTACGGCCACTAAAGCTCCTGCAGCCCGCTCCACCTTCAACCGATCCTCAGAGAGCATTAATCATTATTCCTGAGCTAGATTGCTCTATTTAACACAAGCAGGTTCTGCTGCTTTACATCACACTAATTTTGGAAATCCTGGTCTTTCAAAATATCCTCGCTTCCTGTTATTACAAATCATTTATTTCTAGTCTTACTGGGTCATGAGAAAGAAGACTAAAATAGGCACCAGCCTCTTGCATAACCCTTTTGCACCATTCAGCAGAGACCTCGGGCTTCTGACAAGCACCATGCAAAGTTACTGGTTTTCGTGAAAGAGCTTCCCCTTCCCGATTTTACAAGTAGCACTAACACACACAGAACACATGGGAAAAACTAAAGCAGGGCAGTTGGCAAGAGCTAAAAAAAAAAAAAAAAAGCAGTTAAAAACCAGCCCTCCGATACAAAGAAGAGCCTTACCAAGATGCGAGTTTCCTTTCCGGTAACTGCCCGTCACGTGAGTGCAGCTGCTCCCATCTCCTTGGCAAACTCCACATTTATCCAAGGTGTGGGTGGAAAAGAGAATGCCATCGCATCCAATCGGCTAAAAGATGCACCAAAAAAAAAGAGCCTTGAGGGTCAGGCAAACGTCGCACCCGTTGCAATTTTCTGAATGCTACTAACAATATTTTTGCTATAATGTTTAACAACCTCACATTTTCCAGACACGCAAACCCCTCGGAAATCAGTGTATTTGCAGGATGTTCCATCCCGAGCCTGAACCATTAACTGTCTCTGACCATCCACAGTGGTGCAATGGAGGTCACAGGGCTTGCTAGAAATGTGAACATAGTCATCTGAGGGGAAAGGATATAAAGACACATTCAAAACAGCAGAAACACAATAACTTTCATCCTACCAATGTCAATGAATCTCTGCCAAGCTAAACAGCAGCAGCAACAGCACATTTGCACAGCGGCCAGCAGTTCAGAAGCGACCATCTCTGGTGTTCCAGGCTGGACAGGAGATCGTGCTTCTGAGAGCAGGACAGCCCACTGCTGCAAACCTTTGCACAGCCGGACAGACCTTTCTGCTGCCAAAGCAGTAACAGCCCCTATTCTGTGCAAGGACTTGCAGAAGTGATGCATGGATGCACTGCACAAAAACATATATGCATTCATCTATCAGCATTTAATACATGAATTAAATTAATATACATCTGTTTTTCTAAACACATATACAAGTAAGTTTATAATTAGAACCACAGCAGGTGAAAACATATGAACTTTTCCATAAACCACCCAAGTTGGACTGAATTCACCCTTCGCTTTCCGCAGGCAGCTGCCTGGCTGCGTCCACTGGCGCAGTACTCCCACATTTTAGAATATCCACAGGAAACAAATGACAAATTCACGTTTGCATCAGAAACCCAACACTAGTGTTGAACTCCACCAGCTAGCAGCAGTCAGATACCCATTGGCCTGCGCGCCCAAGCAAGGCAGCATCAAAACATTATTCTGCAAATCCCCCAGGAGCCACGTGAACGCCTGCTAAAAAACAAAACAATTCACTGTAATGGTTCTGGTAATCATCTTGAAGAGCAAATATGTTTAAAGAAATTGCCACCTTGCCATGGGAAAGGGACAAAAATAGCCAAGTAGCTAGAGCTAACCAGCCTGCTGTGGGCCAAGCTCTAGAATGCTGATGAGACAGGGGCTTGTTTTGTATAAAAGAGGGCAACATGTCATTTCATGAAGCATAAAATTGTTCTTAGGTATGTATAGATACCCCTAAAAATAAGAAAGATGCATTAGATCCTGTCTCTACGTTTTAGGCACCCAAATGGCTCAGGAGCCTCCTCCTCAGGAGAAGGACCCTGGGTTCCCAATAGCTCTAAAAAAGTGGATTTTTGTTTAATGCTTGCTTTTGATGGGAGTTAGGTCAAAATCTCAGTCTCTGACTCCTACGTTATTCCTGCAGTTCTGCATTGCTCACCCCAGATGACCAAACTCACTGACTGCATCTTGGTGACATTTGAGCACATGGAGGGCGTGGGAGGGAGCAAATGTCACCAAAGTGCAACGCAGCCAGTAACGGCCCCAGCTCAAAGGACATTTGTTTGGGTGAGCCAGACTGTCCTGGCCAGTGCAGTCCATCACCCCATGCTCTCGCATCCTCCTCCAGGCTTTCAGCTCTCTGCTCCTCAGGAGCTGTGACCAACACAGGCTACAGCCATAAATTCATGTTGTTATTTTATTTTTAAGCAACCCTGCAGCTGCAAGACGCGCCTTTGAACTTGGGAGACAGCTGATTGTGTCTCTGAAAAATCACTTTAAAACAGCAGAGGAGGAGCCTTCCTGCAGGCTATAGCATCATAACTATCAAAATATTTTGGCTAAGCATTATGAAACACACAAAGAACATCTTGTTACCAGGATATAAAGGTTTCCATTGATACGTTCTGCCATTATACACATGGGAGTTAAATGATGAACACTGTTCCTCTCGAAAGCTCCTTCCGTTTGCAGGGCACTCCTAGAATGGGATACATTAATATCCTGATGAAAACAAAATGCGGAAAACGTTTCTGGCACCTCTCAACTGGCTGCAAGGAGCGTTTCCATCGCTTGCCCCATCCAGAGCCACATCTTCCTCCTCCTCCCACTGCAGGGACAGCCATGGCAATCCCCCCTGGGAGATGGCACAAGAACCACCCACTGGGATTTATGGCCCCCAGAAGAGGCAAAAATCCCAAAGTCCCAACACAATGGGCACCACAGAAGGGAATTTCACTTCCTTGGAGAGGCAGTGGGATGACAGCTACAGGACAAATGCTGTCCCTTCTCAGAGGTGCCCAGAAATCCCATTGCACAAAGCAAGTAGGACTTTCTACATTCTTTATTGAGCATTCCCAGTGAGAAAAAGGATATTCTTACTTGTACTTTGCAGAGCTGGTATCTTTTGGATGTTCCAGTGCAAGTTTTATTAGCCAGCCCACTCACTGACTTTCTTCTGAATAAAGAAATGATGGTTAGACAGTGGTCAGAAATTCTTCCTTTCCCTTTCGTAAAACATATTTGTCCCCTGCTTCTCTAAAATTGGTCCACATGTAGCAGAGCCGCAGAGATCTATCACAGTCTCACTGGAGCTCATAGCAAAGGTCTATCTGGCTCTGTTACCTGCAGCATCAACTAGTCTTATCACAGCATCGTAGGAGGTAGCATAGGGACCAGGATCTGGGGACAAGGATTGCAAAGTGCCTCCTGGCAACCACACATCCCGGAGAGGCCAGAGCCATGCACAGGGCAACTGGGACCAGCAGGTCCCCAACCAACCCTGCACCACGGTGTCCCTTGTTGCTGCGCCCAGATGCCTTGAGAACAGCCTTATGCTGTGTCTGCTGCTCCTCTGCACTGATCCCTGCAGGAAAAACTTCAGGGCTGACACAGGAATCGCTTGGCTGGTCCTCCTGGCAGGGATGCCCAGGGCACAGCATCCTCATGGCAGCACGTCTGGGGCACACTTACCTTCTGCACAAGCAGGGTTTGCCAGACAACCCCTTTTCACCAGCGCTGCTTATCTACCGAGCGACGGTCTTCTGGACTAAGCCTACCTCCAGCAAGCTGGAGTTCCCCGCACCCTGGCTGGCGGGGGCCGTACCTCTGCCGCAGGCAGTGCCGCTCCTGGGACTTGACGCCTCCTCCACAGGTCCTGGTGCACGCTGTCCACTTGGTCCACTCGCCCCACCAGTACGCGGTGACATCTGCCCCTTCCTCCAGGCTGTTGGAAGTCTGCATCAGGTCCTGCTTGAAGCATCGGGGCGGGGGAAGCAGCAGCTCAGCATCCACAGAGCCCGCATGGGTGGATCGAGGGCATCGCCCACCCAGCCTGCCCTGAGCAAAGGAGGCATTTCCTTCTCCATTCAAGGTCAAGTCTGAGACTTCCCATCTTGCAAGAAACCCTGCATTTTTCCAATTGTGTTTGCATTATAAATTGGAATGAAATGGCAATATTTGGGATTCCTCAGGAAAGGAAACGTTCATTGTTTTGCTCAGTGGGCAAAACCAAGCTCCCAAGCCACCCTAAACCCTCCAAGCCTTTTGGTGCTCTCTGACTCTTGCTCCACAGTGAATTCAGGGAGGTGAAGAGGTGGTTGCAGCCAAAGCCTTCACTGAAAGCCTAAGCGAACACTTGCAAAATCACTCTATGGCAGGAGAACATGCCAGTGGATGCCAGCAGGCTGGAGGAGCCCACGTGCTTCCTTTGCAAATATAGGTTTGTCAGTTCAGGAGGGTCCTTAGCACCCGCCTCCTACCCCTCAACCACTGCCGGCAGCAGCATGACCATGCATCAGAGGGCAGACGAGCTGCTCCACCAGCAGTGTCAGCACCACGTGCCCGCATCCAGTAAGGCATGGGTGTACCTTCACAAGGGACACAAGAAAGCAGTGCTCCCCCAGGAGCAGGGCACGGACTTTCAGAGCCCTGGAAGCGATCTCTGCAAGCTCTTGGCCATAGAAGGTACGGCTTCGGTTAAGTCCAGACCAAAGAGCTAAGCCAAGTTATTCACCCTCACGTTTGCTGGAGACCTGACGCATGCACAGGCCAGTCCTGCAAGTCCCAGAGGTCATCCATCTCAGATCCCAGACGATTTTAAAGCCCAGAGAACACCTCAGCAAGGTGACTCGCTTACCTGAGCAATCACAAAGGCCACGTTGCCCACAAGAAGAAGGGCCAGGGTGCCTTTCAGCTGGGATCGTGCACTGATGAAGACACTGTTCCACCTCCACTTAGACACCTTCATCCTAAAAAGCAATGAAGCACTACACTAAGCAAAACTCCCATCCGGCCCCATTGCTCATTGAGAGCAGGGGCTACTCTGCAACCTGGGTTGCACAGCACGCGTCTTCTTCAGCTTTCCTGGTCAGCTACGTGACACCAGCCATCAGTGACTGCAGAGGCTTCATCCGGAAGTTTAATTAATTAGTGGAAGCATTAAAACACGATACAGGTTCACATCTCATCTCGTTTTTTGCCTTCCAAACCACAACTTTGCACTGGTTCCCAGTGGCTGCACCTGATAGCAC